AAGTTTTCTATGGGATAATCTTTTCTGCTGAAGATGGGACGCCTGCTCTTTGGTCCAGAGACCAAAGTTTACTACAAAGAGAAACTGTGATTCACAAAAGATGGACCAGAAGTTCACAGCGATCTGAAAACTCCCTGCACGACGACTGCTGCCCAACCTTGACCGTGGCGGCCGCACTGCTGGAGTTCCTGGGGACAAAATTCACTCCGTCCTCAGAAAGCAACAGCTGCTCGGCCCCGACAGCACGGCAAAGTCCAGCACCAGGACAAGAACCACTGCAACCGCAGCTTGGGGGACGTGGCACGGCATCTCTGTAACCTCTAGAACAGAAACCGAGGCAGGACAGCCGTCCGCTCAGGTTTGTGTTCTATCAGTCACTTGGGGAAAAAGCAAACAAACAAAAACCAAACTGGCATGTGAAGCATTTTTAAATCCTTGGAGCAGACACCCTCCCCCATCCCAAGTAAAAATAAAGAACAAAAGATCAGAATGAGATGATTTGATACCAACATGTACACAACATGAATTCATGTTGAGCTTCCCTGTTCTTACCCACAAAAAAAGTCACAGAGGGCAAAGGAAAGATGCTCCCATCTCATTCTGGAAATTGAAACATTAATTTGAGACCAACCCACCCCCCTCCCTTTGGGAAAAGCCCTCCAGCAGCTGCGCTGCACACCCGCAGACCCGCCTACGGTTGAGCCCACGGCTTCTCTCGAGTAAGCTGGTTGAAGACTCGTGCCACTCCTTCCACAGCCGCTTCACCCAGCTGCGAAGCTCCGTTTCATCAGGTTCACGGAGTGACGTTTTTAGACTCACAAGGGGAAAAGTGTAGAATAAATCAGATTCTCATTCACATCCTCTTGGTCAGAGGAAGTATTTGACCTGGGGCTCATCACTGAAGGCTCCGCCTAACGCACGAATGTCAAGGCTGGTACATGACCAGCAAAAACAGAAGCTGGCAAGGAATCTCGGAAAGCCAAGATTTATACACGCTCCTTACTGCTGGGTAGGGGAAAAAAAACAACAGAAAAAAAGGAAAAAAAAAACAACACAAACCCCAAAACAACAACAAAAAAAACCTAGGATTATCCTAGTCTTTTGGAGCATCTTTCCATTTGCAAGATCGCACCCGTTGGAGATAGCCTACTAGCACCAAAAATAGGCTGCTTCCTCCCTTACAAGAAGCCACCTAAGAATGGTGCCCCCGGTAGTTTAGGTTAAGTGCCAATCCTCAATCAGAGGCCAAGTTTAAAGTAATACTTTCAAAAGTTCTGTGCTTCAAGAGGGACCATCAACACACGGCACCAGGCTGAGCTACCACGAATCCCCACGGCGCGCGCCTGACCCGACATCGCTATTCCTGCTCTTCCCACGTGCGCGCGCCCCGGGACGATACAAAACTCGTATTTACATTTTCCACGTCTGTGTCTCACCAAATTGATCCCTCTTGCACCTCTCTGGAAAAAAATCATAAGCTGGCTGCAGTACAAGAGCGAGATTTTACTTTTGGTCAAAGTTACCACCCACAAAGTCCCACCCCCCCAAAAAAAAGCACCCCAAAATTGTTTACATTTAGTACCTGCCAGTCAGATGTAAGTTGTGTGGCTCACAGAGTGCCTGTGGCCAAGCTCTCGAGTTTGTACTCTAGTGCAGCATTTGCTACAATTACGGAGTCACTGCTGACAAAAGGAAAATTAAAAAAAAAAAACATAAAGTCCCAAACACAAAAACCTTCCCGTCTTATAAAGTTGCTGTCAGGAGGCACCTGGCTTCTAGTTATGATCCTCCTCAAGGAAACGGACGGGTAAGCCCGCCTTGTAGTTCCAAACGATTTCACTCGAATTTAAAAATGGGGAAAAAAGGGTCAAAACGAGGAGAAATTAAGACAATGAACTCCTGCCTCAAAGGTAAAGCAAGCGTGGTGTGAGTGCAGCATCTGTATAGGCAATAAAGGACTGACCAAAAGAGACCACGTCCATCCAGGTGCCTCCTGACAGCGTCGGTGAACAGGCTAAAAGGGAATTTGTAAAAAGAGTACGGGTTTTTGATTTGTCTCACTCCTTTTGCCTGTAGATCAGGCCAAACATCAAGCATGTTGGGAGGGGCACAATTTAAAGCAACACTACTTGACCAGAAAGCACTTCTCAGCAATATACAATGCAAAATGACAGAGAGCGAGTCATGCCAAAACAGGGGAGATGGCAAGCGGCTTTCTGCAGCTTCTGACGTCAACAGGGGTTTGCCCTGACCTGCTCACAAGTCTGGAGAGAGGCCGCTCTGAGCAGAAAACGCTGCAGGAAGTAAATCAATCCCAAAAAACTCCAGAATTGTCAGTCTATGCACGTAATTTGGTTTGCTACGGTTTCTCTTCAACCCAAATCCACACCCGATGCACACACTGCTCAGCAACACCGATGCCCGGTGGGATTTCCCTCACGCCACGGTGGAACACGGGTCACGGCCCCCTTCAGAGCTTCTCGAGTTCCTCAAGTTTCTGAGGGGGGAAATCAAAGAGCATCTCCCAACAGGCTGAGCTACCGACTTGGAGGCCTGGCAGCCCCACAAGCGATCTCTCCCACGCGAGCCGTCTGGGACGGTGTTGCTAACACCAGAGCAAACCCACCCTGACAAGGGAGGCTCGTAGAGACCTGCTCTCCACGGAGGTCAGAGCGCTTCTCTTGGTTTAGTGTTGCAGAAAACTGAGCCCCTCTCATCTTTAGCTGCTCCCATAATCAGTCTAACCCCTTTAACCCCAGCAACCTTCATCACAAAAGAAAAAAAAAAAGTTATATATGAACCCAAACAGAAAAGAAAAAGAAAAAAAAATATTTACAAAGTTTGTACAATATACACATCTGATTTTCTATGGGACACACCGCACCAGAGGAAAGAGGGCCATGGCTCTGAAACAAGTCTACGTATCAAGTGCTGTAACTACTAATGGAGACTCTTATGGAAACCAGTCCTTAGTGTTCTGCTAGAGCATAGGGCTTTTCTTATGGCTCCTGCAAAGGATGACAGGCTACTCTTTCCTTCTGGAGCTCCGATGCTGCACCTAATCAGCCCAGATTTGAAGTTGGTTTTGTTTTAAATACAGGTATTTACAGTGTGGGTGAACTGCAGATGCATATCAACTCCTCCAATTAAAAAAAAGGAAAAAAAAAAAAAAAAGTTGAAGAAAAAAGTAGTACTACCAATACGCTTCACCTCCCAGCCCTGGGCTTGAGTACTTGGGGAGGAGGAGAGGGGAAGAGAGGGGAACTTTGACCTGAAACCAAAAACGGGCGTTGATTCCTTGGGCTGTGTCGGAAAGGTGATATTCTGAATGGTCTCATAGCATAAGGCACTTTGCACGAATAAGTAACAAGCTCTTTAGCTTAAAAACAGATGAGTAACCAGGGAGAAGTTGAAATGCACTCAGTCGACGGTTGAAGAATTTGAAATAGCAGACAAGCTCGTGTTCAGCAAGATTCTTCTCTTTCCAGGGTTTCTCTTCTTTCTTCCCTTGCTGCCCCTCCCACCCAAAGGAAAAAAAAAAAAAAATAAATTTAAAACCAGCAGTTAGTGCAACTAATGTTCAATCAGCACACAGTGCAAACAAGTGGAAAAACAAACAGACTTTCCTCCTTTTATCTTCTTTCTTCCTTGCTGCCAAATTTAAAAAGAAAAAAAAACGCCGAGCTCTTTAGTCTTCATAGTTCCGAAATGAAAAGACGAAGAAAAACCCACAAAGAGAAGGGTATCCCCAAAGAAACGATGTGTCACAGATCTGGATCAAAGGGCTTCACCTTCTGGTGTGTGTAATCAAAGCCTGAAACAAAGCAAAGCACAAAAAAAGAAACACAACAGCCACAATTAAATCAATTCTGTGCAAAGCCAGAACCTCAGTAATGAATCACACTGACTAGGTAACAGCTCTGGAAAGGCAAAGGGCATTCGGAACAGCTCCACCTCAACCACGGCTTCGCAGAAAGAGGTGCTGCTAACGCCCCACTATACCTACGGAGCGTGACTACCTGCTGGTTCCTTGGCCTTTAGGGAGAGGCAAACGGTTCTCAGGCAAGGTCACAGCATGTCCTTTAAGGAAGCTACCACCCAAGAGCCTTTTCCAAGTTCAACACCTGGGGTTTTTTTAAATTTATTTCTAAAACACGGAGAAAGCTGAGGCAGAAAAGCAGAGGCTGCAGGTCAGCTTGGCATGACTGACTGGGGCTATCCTTGAACCATTTCACAGAGGGGACACAGGTTCATTTTAACACTGTCATGTGCTCTGCCTCTATGGCCCTTTTTTTTTTGCCGGGGGGGGAGTCACCCAAGCAGAACTTCAGCAGCTTCACAGGGACTCTCTTTCAACTACATGATCTCTGAGAAGAGTACACAAAAGAACAATTTCCAACCCAAACTGTACGGTGTCTGACCTTGCACAATATAGCACCTTAACTAAAACCAGGTCAAACATCATCCTGTAGCTACTTTGCTTGACTGCAATCCCGGGTGAGTTTTCTTCTTACAAAAGGACTCCACGCAGTAGTTTTTCCCCCAGACTGACCAGAAACAGTCAATCCTCATTTCCTTTTCCAGCTGTGCTGGCGACCTCCCGTGGCAGCACAGGGGAATTACAGCTTGGCCACCTACGCGGTTCACTTTGCTGGAGTTCTAGGAACCAAAGGATGCAAAACGGAGCAACTTTAGCTCAAACCTGGTCCTTCTAACTGGTGAGGTGCTTCAGCTCTTCTGTCGGTGCTCTCTTCTCAAAGCTATCAGTTTTATCTCCTCACCTTTTTGAGGACTGCCATCCTCTCTGCCCCTCACCGCTTTCTCATTTTAGCTACAGGACAAATTCCTTGTTTCCTCCCCAAACACCATTCCCAGCTCTCCCTTTTCCCCTGGTTTTGTTCTTTTTAGCATATGGTCACACGTCCATTAAAAGAACTAAAAATGACTCATCCTCGCCTCCCAGCTTCAGGACATCCACTGAATTCCTTGCACTGATGCTTTATTTCAAACCCTTGTTTTCACACTCAGAGCCTCTTCAGCACATTAGTTTCCCTCTTCCCCTGTGGAAACATTCACACATCAGCTCTTCTTTCGCCCAACACAACTTCTCTACGCAGGAAGGCATTTATATACGCACGTGTTTACTGTTTCTCATCTTCTACAGGTTCACTGTGGTATTCTGCCACATACAGGCTCTTGTCAATGTTGCTCGGTATGGGTTTAATTTCAGTTCCCAATTGCTCCTCAATACTTTTCAGGTTGAATCGATCATCATAGGTGATCAAGTTGATGGCCAGGCCAAGATGACCAAAGCGACCTTGACAAAAGTTTTAAAAGAAAAAAAAATAAATTTTAAAAAATGAAGCAATAGAAGACTGAGTGAAAAAGTCTGCAGGCTGTGGAGTTATTAACATCGCTCGCCCTCCGATGATAAAAGCAAATCCAGAGCCTGTCACAGGTCTCTACGACTTTCACATCAGTTACTGGTATGGAGCTTTATACTGCTGTATGAATAAGAAAACCCAGGAGGTTCAAAATGCTCTGACCAAACCTCCTCACTAGTTACCAGCAAAGTCTCCCACTACTGCATTATGCACATCCAGCCTTCCTTCAATAACTGAGTTCAACAGGCCTGAACTACAAAGTTCCAGTACTCTAAGTTCCTTTCTTTACCGCCTTTCTTAAGGGTGTGTATTTTGCTGATTTCCAGGCACCAGAAACATCCCTTGGAGCAAAAGCAGAAGAAAACTGCGCTTTAGACACCACAGAAGCTGAGTTTTCAGGATAGAATTCTCCCAAAGTGCAAACAGGAGCATCAGTTAAGTCTGCTGACACGAAAGCAAAATACATTGGGTTCCCCAACCCCCCATTAGGCTGGTCAGGCCAGTTTCAAGAGAACAGCCCTTTATTCAGGTATTTGTGAGCATAACCATTTGAGATGATACCCACAAATAAATCTGTCAGAAAAATCAAAGCTACCTAAAATAATTCTCTGATAAAGTAATAAAACAAACAGAAGCCAATCCAAGCCTAAGAAACATTGAAGTCTTCAGCAAAGTTGCGCCTAGAAAACGTTTCTCCTCTCACCTGATCTGCCAATGCGATGGAGGTAAGTCTCCGCCAGCTTTGGGAAATCAAAGTTTATCACCACATTCACAGCTTGGATATCAATACCTCGGGTAAACAGATCTGAAAGACAACCCCAGGTCATGAAGGAAGTTAATTGCAACGAGATCAAATGCTGACAGCATGTAGGATGGAAAGATTAACAACGATTAACGTTGGCTTGCACTAGTTTCCAAATACAAGCTTCCCTTGTATCAAAGGGACAGTTCACATACAATTCCGTTGCAGAACACAAAACGACAGGGAATCAAAACTAGAAGCACGTTTAGAATAGCTGAGCAAAGCTCAGTCAGGTGATCCGAGCCACAGTTCTATCAGTATTTCGTCAAGCTCAGGGCCCAACAGCACAGAGAGCACTCGCGTGTGAAAACAAACAGAAACCATGACTGGTGCAGAAAACACAACAGCAACCTGATTTGTTAGCAAGGTGCTAAACCCTCATGGTTTGTTTGTCACGTACGACAAAGATCTCCAGGCCTAAAGGAGAGCTGCACCCTGCTAGATGCAGGCTCGACGAAGGCATCAATGATGCTGGAGCACCTCTCCTATGAAGACAGGCTGAGAGAGTTGGGGCTGTTCAGCCTGGAGAAGAGAAGGCTCCGGGGAGATCTTATAGCGGCCTCCCAGTACCTGAAGGGGCTACAAGAAAGCTGGGGAGGGACTTTTCATAAGGGCACTTAATGACAAAACAAGGGGAAATGGGTTTAAACTGAAAGAGGGGAGGTTTAGATGAGATATGAGGAAGAAGTTCTTCACTGTGAGGGTGGTCAGACACTGGAACAGGTTGCCCAAGGAAGTTGTGGATGCCCCCTCCCTGGAAGTGTTGAAGGCCAGGCTGGATGAGGCTTTGAGCAACCTGGTCTAGTGGAAGGTGTCCCTGCTGCTGGCAGGGGGGGTGGGACTGGATGAGCTTTAAGGTCCCTTCCAACCCAAACCATTCTATGATTCTATGATCTTACCAAAACCTATCGCTTTGGTTTATGACAACTCAAGAGATCTATTAGAGCTGAGCTAATGGCTAAGCCACTTTGCTATCAGAACCTTGAGAAACAGGAAAACATTTAGGATCTCTTACCAGTGCAAACAAGATTGCGGCATAAACCATTTCGGAAATCGTGGAACACACGATTGCGGTGCTCCTGGAAACACATGGAAAAAATTAAATTAAACAAACAAGCAAATGAAAACCCCACCAAACAAATAGCTGTGACTTTCAGGCATATTCAAGGTACAAGCAGTGAACTTCAGTCATGTAAATTCTTCTGCCTCATCATTAGAGACCAGTTGAGTCAAACAACGGTGCTAGTACGTATTTTTTTAGCGCTTCTTGGCCACATATTCTAAAGAACTTATCAGAGCGGCCCTCAGTACCACTTTCAGACACAGACACCTGACTGACTGTGTTTTAAAGCCTCCTACAGTTGCATCAAAGCCAGCTCAGAAGGGGAGCATCTTAAGTTACAGTGAAAGGCACATGAGGAAGTTAAACTGCTATTTTGTCTTCCCCTAACCCCCTGCCAGATTCAATGTGTGTTTCAGTCATTCCCTTAAAAACAGAAGTCAGCAGTAACTTCATTTTGCAGTTTGGAGTATTTTTCACTACCGAGTCAGAATTAGGGCTGGGACCAGAGGATGATCTGTGAATAGTCTCCTCTCACAAACAAGTCACTTTGGGCCACGCAAAGATGATGTAATATCAGCATTAAAGAGTGAAATTAACAGCAGGAACGCACAAGTTCAAGGCTTGTGCACAAACATACTTGCATTTTGCCACAAGGACCATCTACCGAGTGATGAGAAGCATACAAGAAAGGAAAAAAAAAAATCAGACTTCAAACCGTTGTAGACTTCATACTCACCTGCCTCATTTTAGCATGGATATAGAAGCAGGAATAGCCCAGCTGGGAGATCTTTTTGGCTAGCAATTCAACCCGTTGGGAGGAGTTGCAGAAAATGATCGACTGGTTAATCTGGAGCTGAACATACAAGTAGCGTACTCAGTAAACGCAGCATTTTACTAACAACTGATCCAAGACAGAAGTCTAAATCCCTTCCAGAAAGAAAGCAAAGGAGTTGTGCTACTGATAATTTACACATTATGTATTTCTGTACAAGAGAGGAAAGAGCAACAAAGCTCTGTAACACAAAGGTGTGGGTCAAGGAGCATGCTATTTTGGCCTTAGCTCAGGAGCACATTCTGACAAGGAAAAAGCGGCGCTAAGCCCCCTTGGCCACCCTCAGTCTTATTCTTGGTTCTGAAAGGAAAAAAGCTGCTGCACGTTCTTGAGCCAGCCCTACTGCTTACCCTGGAAAACAGCGTATTGAGGCAGTGTACTTTCTGACGCTCGGTTACGTAGGCATAGTACTGGGTAACTCCCTTCAAAGTCAGCTCCTCCATCAGATTTATCTCATAGGGTTTCTGCAAATGGGAATTCTGAAAAATAAAGATAAGAATGAAGCAGGCATAGCTACATGGAAAACGATCCCAGTACTCCCCACCCTCTGGCACACTGAACATCCTCCATGGCAAGGATGCGCTACCCAGCCACTCGCTCTGCACAGAACAGACAGGGTGGGTAAAATTTCCCCAAAGGATCAATTATACACCCAAGGCAACCGAGCAGGCCAAACAGGAGCACCCTCTGGAAGCAACTGAAGGAGTTGTGGCTGTTCAGCCTGGAAAAGAGAAGGCTCCGGGGAGATCTTATAGCGGCCTCCCAGTACCTGAAGGGGCTACAAGAAAGCTGGGGAAGGACTTTTCATAAGGGCAACTAATGACAAGACAAGGGGAAATGGGTTTAAACTGAAAGAGGGGAGGTTTAGATGAGATATGAGGAAGAAGTTCTTCACTGTGAGGGTGGTCAGACACTGGAACAGGTTGCCCAAGGAAGTTGTGGAAGTCCCCCCCCTGGAAGTGTTCTCGGCCAGGCTGGATGAGGCTTTGAGCAACCCGGTCTAGTGGAAGGTGTCCCTGCTGCTGGCAGGGGGGGTGGGACTGGATGATCTTTAAGGTCCCTTCCAACCCCAACCATTCTATGATTCTGTGATTCTATGAAATCAGCACAGATGGCATGTAACCAACATGCCAAGTAGAAAACAGATCCTTGTAGGTAAGCACTGTGCATACCTAGCTTTCCCATTAACACTACTGTGGGTCAAAAACTATTTCCAAAGTTCTGCCCCAGATTTAGGCTGATTTAACCAGTCAAGTCTGGATGCATTAAAAAAAACGAGGGCTGACAGCTACACGCCACTCACTCGCACGCTTCACGCGCAACATGGCCACCATCGCACGTACACGAACACGTCTGTGCTCACCATGAACTTCTGGACGCTCAAAGGGAAAGTGGCTGAGTAGAGCAAAATCTGTCTGTTTTTAGGTAGCGTGAGAATAATGTCTTCCATTATTTGAACAAAATCTTGAGACAGCAACTTATCTGCCTGTATCAACAGAAGAAATAAACAGTAAGTTAAATTAATGGGGCAAGATTTCAGTCTTCTGGTACTACCACTTTGAGGGGGGTGGGAAAGGACCAAACCAAACCATGAGGAGCATCCTCCCTGCCCTTGCAATGCCACCATCACCCTTCGAGCACAGACCACGCTCCAAAAGATGTGTGATTTAGCTGCTGGAGCTGGGATTCAGCAGTAAAAGGGAGCTGACTATCTCTTGCTTTTCAGCACTTTGATTTAAACAAAGTCAGGAAAAAGAATGCAATCTAAACTGAAAACAATTACGATGGTCCCTATCAGAGTCATCTAAGAGCTTTCACACGACTATTTTCTCACCCTCTCACTCAGAAGCCTGTATGCTATTGGATGTTCATAAATCAGTTTTATGTACAATTATGCAGTAAGCACAGTTCACTCATTAAAACCTGCAACCTAACAAAACACACTCCTTCATTTCAGAAGGGAGGGTTGCTCTGTTCTTCAGGAACAGCAGAGAAGACAGGAAAGGAAGACCTTCCTAGGTTGTTTTCTTAAAAGAGTGATGGCAGAAAAAAATCCTTCTGCCAAAACACCTCCTCAAAACTACTGAGGAACGGATGAGCTACAACCTTATAGCATCGCCAAGCAAAGTTTGACTTGTCACTGTGCATAACGAGGAGACTCACTGAGACACGTCATCACTTTAACTCAGTGTGAAAATCCCAAGAATGTTTAACATGAGCAACTTGCCTCATCCAATACTATCATCTGGACATGCTCGACTTTCGCTACTCCTTTCTTGATGAGATCGAGAATTCTCCCAGGGGTAGCTATCACCACATGCACTGTAAGGTTAGAAGAGCAAAAACAACGGTCAAGGCGGCTAAAACAACATTTCTGGCATTCACAGCCGTGTTTCACACCAACAGGCAGAGAGAGTAAGGACAGCACACAAGCAGCGAACGAGACTACAACCTGTTCTGTAACAGGCAAACAAGAACAAGCAGCAGAAATCCCACCATCCCACCAAAAGCCAGGAACAAACAGCCAGCGCCGTGCAGCAGAAGGGCTCTGACCTGTATCATCAAGTCTCATTATGTCGTCCCGCAAATTGGTTCCTCCGGTTGTTGCCATCACTTTGGCACCTCCCATGTGTTTGCTGACTTGGATACAGATTTGACTGACCTGCAGGGCTAGTTCACGGGTGGGAACGATCACCATTGCTGAAAGTTAAAGGCGGTGGTGTGAGTTACTAGGAACACACTGGATCTGAAACACTAATCCTGAGAGGAGACAGAGACTTCATGAAAGCTAGACTGATATGGTTTTGGAGTTCCAGGCTGGATATCCTGAACAAGAGCTAGAAACTGCTCACGACAAGGCAAATTCCATGCAAGGGTTCTCCATCCCTTGACGTTCCCTCTGTGCAAGTCCCCTGGCCAGCACGCTTGCTTGTTACTCCAAATCCACTTTCCAGGGCAGGATGGTAAAGACCAGAAAACACCTCCCACCTCAAGTTTTTGAATGCAACCACGGGACTTTTAAAGTTCCACCACCCCCCAATAACTTTCTTTGATTCTTTCTGCAGTTTCCCTGGCTGCAGCTAAGCGAGATCCATCTCAACTGACCTTGTATATTGTCCTTCTTTAAGTCTAGCCGTTCAAGTAAAGGAATGAGGTAGGCTCCACTCTTGCCTGTTCCGTTTTTCGCTCTAGCCAAGATATCCCTACCAGATAAAGCAATGGGGATGCTCTCCTCCTGAAATGCAAAGACAGACAGCGCATGAGCAACCACAAGCCACGCTCGCTGAAGAGGCTGCCCAAATTTAACCCTCCTGGCTAACAGAACCATGTGAAATCCCACTGTTTCATCTACAGAACATCTCACAACAGCAAGCATCGCAGACTCACAACAGGAAGGAGTTAAACCTATCAGTAAAGAGCTCCCCAACAAAGCAACAGCTCCGCTCCCCATATCCCACTTCAAAGTCCTTATCTTGCCTGCTGAGAGAGAACCAGGGATCAGGTACCACAGGAGCAGTAAACTCGTACTGACACGTTAGGAAAGAAAGTGAACAGTTAGGGAAAAAAAAAAGTGAAGAGACAAAAACAGTCACTAGCAGACTCCTCCTAAGGGAGGAGATCCCCACCTGTATCTTAACATCAGAATCACCTCAGCCCATGTAATTCAGAACTGCACACTCCTGTGATACACCTCTCATAAAACCAGCAGGCTTTCCTTCTGAAACTTCAGCTGTTCAAACACAGGCCATGAGTATTTTTCACTTTACTGTCTTTCACAGCAATGTCTGAAGAACCCTCAGCCTCTTGGAAAGGCAGGAGGTTAGAATCTGTTTTAAAGCTAGTCTGTCTAAATTACCCAAAAGCCACAGCTTTCTTGTGCTGTGAAGTGGCAGAGCTGTGTCAATGATAATCCTCCAAAGAGCATTTAAAAGAGGGGTCGACCTCCCCGCTCCCTTGAGGCTTACACATCAACAGTTCATAAGAGAACAAGCCTTCAAAGCAAAAGCAAAATGGGGGGAGAGAAAAGTAAACTTGCTAGCATATCCATCTCTCTCCCATCATCTCCACTAGGCCCCTTCCAGATGTTTGTCATAAAAAAAGCCAAGCCGGTGTGCTAAAGCTGCAGGCACCTTTGTGACAACAAAAGGCATGCAGCCCAGGGTAACTCGGTTTTCCAGAAAATTTACAGAACACCTCTGTTCTCGCTGGGACCACTCATGGCCAGGAAGTTCCTGAACAGAGGGTTGAGACGCTAACGCCTCCAGAAGGAAAATCCAAATTAACTTCTCTAAAGCGTAACTCGCTCCCATCTCTAAGTCACCCACTGCATGACCTAGTGATTTAGACAGGTATTAGAAATTCTCCCAAAGCGCCTTCCCCAAAGTGCCACCAAGTTCTACCATCCACAACCACAGGTTTCCCAAATCATGACGTGAGAATCCAACATTTAAGCAGGAATAAGAATTTTCAATAAGTTTACAAAAATTAAGTGCTGCTAGTAAGTAGTCTGTTTGCAAACAACCTGAATAGGAGATGGTTTTTCCCAGCCCATTTCAAAAATTCCCATCAGCAACTCCCGTTTCAAACAGTAATCTTCAAACTCGTTTCCTTTCGTGGAGGTCACGTCCTGGATAATCAAAAAAAAAAAAAGCACATCCATTAAGATTAGGTCACACAACCCGCAGCTGCAGACTGGTCTGATTCAACGAGACCACTGCCTACGAAGGGAGATCGCAAAGCACGTCCCGTTGCTGCTCGGGAGTTCCCACTGATCTGCA